CATGTCCATAATCCACATTCGAAAGGAAGGGGGTGAGGGTGACTTCCAGTTCTTAAGCACAAGTCTCTTAGCCACAATCATACCCAGGGTTAGAGACTGCTGTAATGTCCCCGGGAGGCAGGAGGTGCGCTGTAAAAAACCAAAGATAGCAAGTTCTGCATCCGGTGGAAGAGGCCTATTGTAAGCCTTGGAATACCAGTCAAATATGCTTGACCAAAGCCCAGACAATAATGGGCAAAACCAGAAAGCATGAGAAGTTGTATCCTCTGCCACCTTGCACCGGTCACACATTGGTGAAACAGAGGGGAAAATTTTATGCAGTTTGGTTTTAGTGTAATGCAAGCGATGAACAACCTTGAATTGAATCAGTTGGTGTCTGCTGTTAACTGAGCAGACCTGTATTGTAGTCAGACACTTATCCCACATATCGTCAGCTCAACTCCCAGGTCTTCCTCCCAGGCTGCGTTAAATCTCTCAGTAGGGGCTGCAACGCAGCTTTCAATTAAGCAAACTAATTTGGAAATAAGATGCCTAGAATCAGGAGGATTTAGAAAAACATCAAAAAAACACATGCTTTTCAGGGAGTTGTTCGAAATGACTAATTTTGGACTTTACATAGTGCCTAATTTGTAGATAACGAAAGAAGTGTGCATGAGGCAAATCAAATTTCTCTCTTAACTGGCTAAAGGATGCAAACCTTCCCTCAACATAAAGGTCCTTGATGGACTCTAAGCCCTTCTCCCTCCAGACAAAGTAAGTTCTATTCCTTTAAGCATTTCTATCGTGAGACCACCATCATCATCACTTTAATGATGTAATGAAACTTATTGCATCATCATCAAAGAAGACACGATGTCACTCCCAAAATACCAACAATAAGCCGTTTTTAATTGGCTGTTCTCCCCGTTTCCTCTTCGTCTGGGAACAAATACCACCCTCTTCCTAATGAAAATAGCCAAACGATCCCCGCACATAACCAAATGGCAAGCATTTTGGCAACGTGGGGAAACTGGTATGTGCTACTTCCTGAAAAGATGTATAGTTCCCATTCTGCTACTTCCAAATATAATAAGTTTATTAGTTTTATTTTGGGGCCTTTTTGAAACCTATTGAACTTGATGTTTTCTCTGTATTCGAAATAAGGCCTACTGAATAATAATAATAGTACAGTTTCTGCTTTTTTATTATAGGAGACAGTCTTTCGGGCTTTCAGTAAATATTCTTGTGTTGACAAATTACTGAAATGTTAGGGAGGCTGTATTCACATAGAGGAGCTGTGAAGGGAATGCTACTTTTGGCCCGTTCAGTAAAGATGCTGATAAACAACTCCCTGTGCTTCTATGGTATAAACTTTGGCCAATAGTGGCACTTGTTTTTAAGACCTTCCATGTGCTGGTCATGAGGAAATTAAATTGTTTTCAATAACATGCATTCAATCTAACTTCTCGATTTTTGGAATGACTAATATGCAGATTTCAGATCTCTGTTGAAATGACGCTGTTGTTCTATGATACAATTTCTGCTCTTTGGCATGTGGGCTGTAGAATTAGAATTAAGCATAACCATAACTACTCTGGTTTTAATTGCTCTAAGTTTAATAGACTGTCCTAACATGTATGCCTTCTAGATAGTATAAGCACTTTCCTTGAATGGTATATAAAATATTTTAAAATATATATATTTTTCTTGTTCACCAATGAAAAGTGCTTCAGAAAAATGCATATTTAGCCTAAATTAAATGTAGGCAATTGTCATTAGAATAAGTTAATAATTTTAAACATTAATGCAGTGAATTGAATATCAATTGAACAGATTATAATAACATTATTGCGTTGTTGATTTGATCTTAGTTGCAGGATTTAGGCCAAAATCACCATTTTAGCGGGAGGAGAGAGGCAGATATTTTGTGTCCTGTTTTAGATGATAGTTATTTAAATCTGTCTAATAAGATAAAACCAGACCAGTGTGTAACCTATTTATGGAAAGTGACAGTACAAGAGCCAAGCAGCCATTTAAAAATATTCCAACTCACAATGTGAAGATAAATCTTCTAGCAACCCACCTTCTCTTGTGTCTGCATGAATAAATGAGAGCAGCTGATTTCCCAAAAAGCCCCACCTACTGTCCCCGATTCGACACCATTTAACACATACACACATTACAGACAATGGTACTGCTTCCTGTTCCAGTGGAGCAGTTTAGAAACTCATTTGACTTTCAAATATATCAAACACATTGATCAGCAAATCAGCAAATATGAGATTTTGTCTTTTACTTTTTAAAAGTACCAGGCAGTCATGACTAAAGACCGTTTTAATTATTCTGCTTGGTGTCTAAGATAAGACCATATTCACACACTGCATAATGATATAAGGCTTTGTCTGTCATGCATTCATCTTCAGTTAGAATTAATCAGTTTGCCTTTTGATTAACAAGTGTCTCATCCAAACAGATGACGACAGCAGTAGCCAGGGGAGACCAGAGAACATTGCAGAGAGCTTTGGCCGGAGTCTTCATCCAGAGCTAATGAAGGTACTTGACACAAAATAATTACAATCCTAACTGTAGTGGTTTGATTGCTTCTTTGTGCATTTTAAGTGGCTGAGTTCAGAATACTGGGATATTGTCTTCTGCATACTGTGCAGTATATACTGATGACAGTTTACTACTCAGAAATATGTAATAGTATGCATGCAGTAATACACATTTAAAACAGAAGTATGCTTCATTGTTGTCACACGACCTAATTCAGTGAGTGGCGTCACAAAATAATAAATATTATTTTGCATTTTTAGTCCACTTTTGTGCTTAAATGTCTTAAATTATGACAGGTCAATCAAAAAAAGTCAAGAAAGATATTAAAAATTGCAGTTGATTTTGCTCCTGGTTTATTCATCGTACTGGAAGTAGAAGGTCAAACTGATTTCAGTGCATGGTGGGATGAAGTATATTAAAGGAATAGTTCACCCAAAAATGAGAATTTGCTAAAAATTGACTCACCCTCAGGCAGTTTTTATCAGCTGTTTGGCACCCATTCACTGCAAAGAATCCATTGGTGAGTAAGTGATGCAATGCAAAATTTCTCAAAATCCAATGAAGAAACAAACTTATATAAATCTTGGATGGCCTGAGGATGAGTATATTTTTAGCAGATTGTAATTTTTGAGTGACTCTCACACGTTTTGGTGAATTTGGGTTCGGTTTATTTAAATGCTTTTACAAATGCAAACAGTCCTGTTATCTCCAGTATGCCAGAGAAACCGACCAGCTGAATAAAATGAGCAGGAATGAAAGTCGGCAGAAGATCTTCACCCTCGATCCTGAGATGCAGGTTTGTCCATCATGTCCAGTGTACAGCTATTAGAAAGACAGTCTTTCTTTGCCTATGTGAAGCAATGAGGAAAATTAATAAATTATATCTCTCCCTTCCTCTTCAGAGATTAGATTTCTCAGGCATCGAGCCTGACGTGAAGCCATTTGAAGAGAGATTTGGCCGAAGAATCATGGTTAGCTGTCACGACTTGACCTTCAGCCTGCAAGGATGTGTCAGTGAGAAGAATGATGGCATCCTAACCAACGTGAGTAAACCTTAAGCTATGTGTTTCATCTTTTTTGTCAGTCACATTTTTGTTGATCCCGTTGGTCCTGTTTTGTGATGCTGCCAATGTAAATGCTGCCAGTGCTACTGTTGATCTTTGATACATGAGAATGTTTAGACTTTGAATAATCATGAACAATATTAACCAGTGCAGTATATCCCTATCATTTCTAAGCAAAAACAGAATTATACCTTTGGGCTCAGTTATTCTCATGGGACTCCACCATTCATATTTGTTCTCTGTAGATGTAAGTTGTTTTGTGAATTTTTTCATATATAGAGAGTCCTGGTACTGTATATCTTAAAAAAGGGCTTTGGCCATGACAACTTCCTCTTCTTGGTTTTTAAATATGTTTGACGTCACAATTATAGAAAAAATCGTAGGCATATTATTTTAAAAGATCAATTGCATGTATCTGATTTTTTTTCAACATTTTAGTAAAACTTTATTTAAAAAAAAAAAAAGGAATAATAATAATAAGGATTGTATTATATTATAATTGTATTATTATTATTAAGTTTTAGTGACATGTTAAAAATACATTTTGTGAAAGTTAAATACAATTAATAATAATAATAATGTATAAAAGTGCTGAAAAACATTTAGATACAGGCATTGCTAATTTATTTGTTTATTATATATAAAATTAAAATGTTAAAACATTTTAAAAAAAAATTAAATAATCATTTTTTTTTTTTTTTTACATTTTACAATATCAGTGGTAAAGGAAAATACTGTTCAAAGCCTAAAAATTGATTTGTAAATGAAAAATGTTATTTTAGTTATAGTATAGTCTTGCCTTTATTTTCTTAATCCTAATGTCCTGTACAGAGGATAGGCCTATGCAATAAAATATAAATGTATTTTTGAATCATGTGTTTCTTAAGCTACGAACATCACATGAAACCCATAAATTCTCTTTGTGTCCCAGGTTACATAATAAATGTGTCAACGATTGTCTAGCTTTGACTGTCAGAGAACAGCAGTTATGGGTCAGTATAGTTGAATATCATGGAGTTCTTTTAATGAGAGATGAATTAGAGATTTTTGGCATGAGGACAGAGGACTCATCCAGAACACAGTGATGAATATGATCACGCTCAGTGAAGCACTCTCAGTGGCTCCAGGGAAGGAATGCTGGCTCTCATCAGCAGGGTTTGGAAAGCTTCTGCTCCCTTAGAATGCATCTTGACTTTCCCACACTTTGTTAAATGATTAAAAGAGATATGACTGATGCGAATGGAGTGAAATTACACACAGAGATGTGGTTACATAAATACTAGAAGTACAGTCTTTTGCTTGAATCTGATTTGCTGTCATTAAATTATATAATCTATATCAAACAAACTATATGATCCTCACAGTATATAGTACTGCTCAGACAGATTGCTTGCTTGAATCGAAGTTACCACAGTAAAGATGTCAAATAGGGTGTGAAGACTCATCAGCCTCATTCATTCCACACTTTGTGGTTTCTCCTCAGGTAGAGCCATTCTTCATCAGCCTAGCGTTGTTTGATCTGTCCAAAGGATGTAAGATCTCTGCAGACTTTCACGTTGACCTCAATCCACCCTGTGTGAGGGAAATGCTTCAAGAAGGTTCTCCTGGGACGCCAAAAGAACCAGAAGGAGGAGATGGAAATGAAACAGTCAGGGTAAACGGACACGGTCTGCCGGTTCTCCAGAGGGTCGCGGAGTCTCTTATACGCTTCCCCTCTCAGGTAAAAGTTCATCATACTGACATGGTAACACTTTGGGGATGGCTTTCTAGACACATATTATCTGAAGATAATTAAAATAACCCTTTGCTGCAAGAAAATGCTGTACTTCCAATACAGTAATGATGAATTTATCTTGTATAAAGACTTTTTACATAATTTTACATAAATAATATACAATATAGTATAATAAGTAAGTGGCTCTTGCCTATCAAAACTCACCTTCCCAATCATAGAAAGTGGTTGTCAGGGCATTGCTATGTGGTTGCTAATGTATTCAGGTGTTTTTAGTTTGTTGCTGTGTGATTGCTAGGTGGTTGATTACAGACCCAAATTATAGTTAACTAAAACTTAAACCAAAAAATGAAATAATAACAAAATATAATAATAATAAATTTAATATATATAAAAATAAGAAATATAAAATGTATATTGTATTTTATTTAAAGTATAAAAATTAATGTATTAAAATAACTGAAACTAAATTAAATATAAAAATAAATCAAATTTAAAGTATTAATACAAAGTATAATAGTATCCCAGTGATACTAATAAATAACTAACACTGCCACCGTGTCTCTGTGATACTCCGGTCACTAGATATGGCTCTTTTTTTGTTGTTGCCTGTTTTATGGTCCACTAGGTGAAAAAGCATTAGCAAGCACCATTAAAATCAAGAGAGAGCTTTCTGTTCTTTAGTTTGTGACAGATTTATCCTGGTCAACTTTTAAAATCTGTACTTTGCTGAATATTTCTGCAAATGACTGGCAACCCTCCTCGGCGAGCATTGTCCGGCACTGCTGAATAAGAAGGATGCTTCTGCTGTGCTTCTGATAGGGAAGTCAATGTGGTTTCAGAATTTTGCACATCCATGCAGTTTTCAGGGCTGCAGGTGGCTGAATATAGTTATTGTTTGGCTGACTTGCGTCATTTGCACATGCCATTATATTTCTGCCTTCTGTTGAAAGCCTGTGTCCATTTTGCAATAACAGCCACATGTAAAATCATGTGCATGTGAACTTTCATGCCTCATTAACACTAAGTTCAGTATACACAACTGAAGACACATTTTTTCTTTATTATTAATTTACATCTGTCACCTTTTGCAGGCCTGATGCCTTTTAATGCAGGATGATACGGAGAGCTCTGCTAAATAAGTGCACCTTTTTATCTCTGGTATTGAAGTTTTCCAGTTATAAATCATGGATTGTTATATCTAACTAATCGTCTCAAGGCTTACTTATCTGTGTGTGTTTTCATGGGTTTGAGCTTGCTGTTCTGTACAAGGCGTGTGGCCAGGGCAGACACGGCTTTAAGTTTTAACACAGCACTGTTTCATAGCACTAACGCTATGCACTAAATCAAAGCCAGTGCCATGATGGTCTCAAGCCTCTGCTGACAGTCTGGGAGACATGACGTGGCTTTACTGGAACTGACATAACGCAGGGCAGCTGACATGAAGAAGAGATGGCTGGATGTGTTAGAGAGAGAAAGAGACACTAGAACTAGTACAATGTCTTGAACAATGTCTTGCAGTTTAGTTTATGATTTAGATTTTTTGATCATGATATGGTTATGTGAAAGTGCATAGAACAAGTCTGCAGGGGCCAGAGAGGTTAAAAGGAGGCATCTCGGCAACCTATGTTTTAAAATTTGGATATGTGGCCCTATGAGACTCTCTCAAAATACACTTTCTCTGTAGCTTTCACATAATAATAATAATAATAATAATAAAAGTATGTCTATTCATTCATTAATTTATGTGAAAACTGAAATATGACCATAATAATAATAATAATAATAATAATAATTATTATTATTATTATTGTTGTTGTTGTTCAAACCAGCAAAATAAAATGAACAAACTAGCTATTTAAACCACTGTATTCCAATTTTTTTGTCTTTTTAACGACTTGAGTTAATTACACTGAATGTCCATAATCAACAAAACATTTACCCATGTTAATCTTTAATGATCTTTCAGTCTATTTAATTTTCCTTTTTACTTCTAAGTGTTCGTATAACCACAGTGTGTCCTTTTGTGTTATCCAGGGTATTTTCTCCGTTACCAACCCCCACACAGACATCTTCCTGCTGGCACGGGTGGAAAAGGTCTTACAGAATGGCATCACCCATTGCACTGAGCCCTACATTAAGACCTCTGACATCAGCAAGGTCTGGTGCTCAATAACACACACATGCTTCAAGAGAACTGAAAACAGTTCTTAGGCATGAGTTCTTAGTGTTGCATAACATCAACAAGCTGTCTACACTCTCTAGGATGCATTTTAACATTTTAAATGTCAGTCTGATGTGGAAAATAAAAGTATTGTATAAAAATAGTATAAAAATGTGTTGTATTTATACAATTGTTGGGTGTTAAAGGGTTAGTTCACCCAAAAATGAAAATTAGCTTGTGTTTTACTCACCCTCGAAGCATCCTAGGTGTATATGACTTTCTTCTTTCAGACGAATCCAGTCGGAGTTATATAAAAAATTGTCCTGGCTATTCCAAGCTCTATCATTGCAGTCAGCGGGTGTTGCAGTTGAACAGTCCACAAGTCGTCAAATAAAGCACGCACATTCATAATAAACGTGCCTCACACGGCTCCGGGGGGTGAATAAAGGCCCCCTGTAGCGAATCCATGTGTTTTTGTAAGAAAAATATCCATATTTCAAACGTAATAAACACTTTTCTCTCATGCGCGGAAGGCGTTCCGGCGGAAGGTGTATGACGTGTGCGCAGCGTGCGCGCCTCTGAGAAATGCTAGTCTCGCGAGTTTGTTTTAAGGAGCAAAGGAAGCAAAGTTTCCTTACTTTAGCAAAGGAAAACCAGTCTCCTCTTGGTTTATATTGAAATCATCCGACATTTTTCTTTACAAATCCTCGGTTTGTACTTCTAATTCGTGACCGGCGTTTTGTTTTGTTCTCTCTCTGCATTTGTCACTAATCACACAATGCCAACGTGCGGCGTCATCCACCGGAACTGCTTCAGTGTATGACAATCAGCGGAAGTGAGAGAAAAGTGTTTATTATGTTTGAAATATGGATATTTTTCTTACAAAAACACATGGATTCGCTACAGGGGGCCTTTATTCATCCCCCGGAGCCGTGTGAGGCACGTTTTATTATGAATGCGCGAGCTTTATTTGACGACTTGTGGACTGTTCAACTGCAACACCCGCTGACTGCAATGATAGAGCTTGGAATAGCCAGGACAATTTTTAATATAACTCCGACTGGATTCGTCTGAAAGAAGAAAGTTATATACACCTAGGATGCTTCGAGGGTAAGTAAAACAGTCTAATTTTCATTTTTGGGTGAACTAACCCTTTAAGTAATGTTTTGTAATGTTTTTGACCTGAATTGTCTTTTGATAATTCAGATTTAAATGCTTCCAGAATGCTCCCATGCCTTTTTATGTGTCTGTTTCTCAGACAGTGCAGAAAGTCCTGAAGACTGCCAAGCAGACGTGCCAACGGCTGGGCCAGTACCGGATGCCCTTCGCTTGGGCTGCCAAGTAAGATGCAGAAACTCGCTCCTTATTCACTTAATGGACTAGTAAAGCTTAAATGATCTATGTTCTACATCAAGTAGAATTACGTGCCCTTCAAACTGGAATGTCACAGTCAGTACTCTTCGGAAATCACTTTAGTAAATATTTAGGTAATGTGTAAGTGTTTTAAAGTTCATTTCTGGTGCCAAGGATATGTGTGTTGTGTCTTCAGACAGGTGTTCAAAGATTACCAAGGCAGTTTAGACATTGAGGGGAAGTTCTCTCCACTCTACCGCCAAGACAGTAGCAAGATATCCACTGAAGACCTTATCAAACTGCTGACAGATCTCAAAAAGTGAGTGGCAACGCGCGTGTACTAGACTCAATACACCATCTTTTGATGCCAGGTATCCCTGTGAATTTGACAAGTAGGAAATTTTCCTGGGTCAGCATGCCTGTAACAACAGTCCTAATTTGATCCCTAACCTAAACACTAGCCATGAATCAGAGGGAAGTGATAAGAATGGTGTACAAGCCTTTAAGATTAACCCTATTCCTTTGCCTATCACTAAATTGTTGATGTGAATGACATGTTGCACTTGGCAAAATCCCCGTCATCCACCAGGAATGTACTTCCTTGTTAGTCACTTTATTGTATTATGCATTATGAATGTTTTGAAGAGACATTTTTGTTCGTAGACCAGAGAAGAACAAACTGCAGATAATCCCTGGACAAATTAACATCACTGTTGAGTGCGTGCCTCCAGACTTGTCAAGTACGTTTGTTTGTCTTTTTTTATTTCATTTGGCTTTTAATATTAGATAACACATTCTTTCTTTCTAACTCTAAGGCGTAGAATTTTTGAATTCTCAGTAACAATTTATTTAAAGGCACAATTTAGCATATGATGCAATTCATAACTCATAGAAACAAAGTCAGTTTATAAATGAAATTTTTTTTATAACTTTGAGAACATGGTTCACGTGACAAATGTGTAAAAATTAAGAAAATGGAAGGAGATTATTTACTTGTTTTTCTGCTGTTCCACCAAATGACGTCACTTCCTGGGTGTCACAGTTTTATTGAATGTTCCATATTTTTTGTAATGGGGAAATCATGCAGTGTCAGCTAAACATTATGCTTTTGCATAATAGTAACTAATTTAAAAAATAATGATTTAAAATATTTTTTAGTTGATTGAATATCTGTTTAACAGATTATGTCATTGATATGTGATTTTAATTGATACAGTCTGCATTAGGAATACATAGTCTTTTTGATATGTTTAAAAATAGCTAGGTTAATTTTATTTCAATTTGTAATAGTTCTCTTTTTGAATGAATCTGGTATTTGTGTCTTTATTACTTTTAAAAAAGGAATGGGATGCCAATTTGTACACTGTGGACACATTTTGTTTTCACATTTAACCCTGAAAATCCTTTACCTAATCTTGTGTTCCTGGTCAAAAATGACTGTCCTATGAAAAATTGCTTGTAAATCTGTCATTATGCTAACAAGGTGGGGGAAAAAAATCCCCAAAAAGTACATAAATTACGAAACGAAATTAAAAAGAAAATGCTAGTTTCCGTTTCAAAATGAACAGAACACATCATGAGGGTTAACATATAATGAATGGTATTTAATTTATAACCTTTATCTTCACAGACTCTGTCACATCATCTTATATTCCTGTGAAGCCGTTTGAGGAGCAGTGTGAGAGGGTGTCCGTGGAAGTGGAGGAGTTTGTCCCAGAAGAGGCCAGATACAACCACCCATTCACCATCTACAAGAACCATCTCTATGTCTATCCTCAGCAGCTAAAATACGACAATCAGAAGACATTTGCCAAGGTGAGGTTCCTCACACGTCACAAAGCACCTTCTGTAATTAGTGGAACTGGGAAGCTGTGGGTGGTGGTGCAACAACAAGCTCCTTCAAGCAGTAACAATGTCTGCCTACGTGTTTTCACACATGAGGCTCTGTGAAGAGCCCCAGGGATTCTATTCATAATCAATTCACGGAAAATGGTATCTCAAATTAAACAGACTTCAGGGTTAATTGCATCCTCCTCCACTGCTGGAAAGCTGGCTGTTTGCCCTGTTACTCTCCAACTTCTTTTCTTTTAAATTAGAGATGCTACCAAACATTTATACAGATCTGTTTCTCAATGATACTAATGACATCTGTTTATTGGCTTTCATTCTGTTTCATTCATTTGCAAAATAGCATTTTGCTTTATTTATCACTACATAATTGGTGTCCTATTACATTATTTATCATCATTATGGACATGCTGTTAGCCAAAGGTTTTGAATAATTGCTATATGTATTGTTGTTGAGATAGTAAATATTCGCTAATATATATGATGAGGTCCGATACAGTGTCTGTATTTTCTTCCAGGCTCGAAACATTGCAGTTTGTGTTCAGTTCAAGGATTCTGATGATGAAGGAGCCGCCCCATTGAAGGTGACTGTTTGAGTGTTCTTTGTGTAATATCAGTTTTATTCCCCAATTCTTACATTTTTTATAATTAGTGCAGTGTAATGCGTAATTGACTAACCGCTGTTTGCTTTTAGTGCATCTATGGCAAGCCAGGGGTTCCACTTTATACCACCAGTGCTTTTGCTGCAGTTTTGCATCACAATCAGTGTCCAGAGTTTTATGATGAGGTGAGATCCGTATATTATCATGTAGTGTTATTCTTTCACTCAACCGCACAGCAACACAATATCTCATCTTTAATTACCTGTATAAATCCATCAAGCAGGTGACATCACATCATATTGGACTTATCGCAGTTACTTGTACGTTTTTACTTGTACGCAATTACTTGTACTTGTACCATCATTACTGTTAAAAATAAATATTTATAATTTGTATACCTGAGGACATAAACAGCACACAAAATATAAACACATCCTTAGATTATTATCAAGACCTAAAACTATGACATTTGCATTACTAACATAACATTTGATCAGACTGAGCTATAAACAGCACAAAGCACGAGCTTTCCCGAGTCAAGGATATGAAGAGCTGAATCCTTCTAGAGACACATCCTGTTAGGCTTCACCAGACCCTCAGGGCCAAGATATTAAAGACAGATTGTTCATTCAATAGATGAATGAGTCACAAGACATCAACATAGACAGTACGCACAGACATAGCCTACGAGCTATTTGATACAGTATTGCATAATTTGCTGGAACGAACCTAATGATGTCATCAGCGGGAGAGCCTTAAAGGATTAGTTCAGCAAAAATGGAAGAATTTGTCATTATTTACTCAGTCAGTGTTGTTTGAAGCTAATCACAATGACATGTTTATATTTTCATGTACTGTATTTATGAGTCACAATCAGGCTTATAAAAAACACACAACTTTCTTTATAAGAACTTGATTAGAATTCAACTCGTAAAGATTTCCTTAATGTTGAAGTATTTTCATTTCTGTCACAGATTAAAATCGAGCTTCCTGTTCATGTCCATGAGAAGCATCACATTCTATTTACTTTCAACCACATAAGCTGTGAGGTTGGCAACAAAACCCCCACCAAGAAACGGGATGGAGTGGAAACACTGGGTGAGTGTGTGCTTGTGTATTGTATACACTACCGTTCCAAAGTTTATGCTCAGTAAGATTTTTTTAATTAATTTTTTCATCAAGGACACATTAAATTGATCAAAAGTAATAGTAAAGACATTTATAAGGTTACAAAGATTTATATTTAAAATGAACGATTCTTTTGAACTGTCTATTCATCCAAGAATCTTTCAAAAATGGTCATGGTTTCCACAAAAATAATGAGCAGCACAACTGTTTTCAGCATTGAGAATAATGAGAAATGTTTCAGCAAATCAGCATATTACAGTATAATAATTTCTGAAACATCATGAAACACTAAAGACTGAAAATTCAGCTTTGTTAAAATATAAAACGGTTATTTTAAGTTGTAATAATATTTCACAATATTATTAATAAATGCCTTGTGTGTATAAGAGACTGCATACAGTTGAATGTTGGTGTGTGTGTGTGTGAGGAATATACCTTTAACTCTCGCTCTCTACAGTGGGTTATTCCTGGACTCCTTTATTGAAGGATGGCAGAATACAGTCCTCAGAACTACAGCTTCCGGTGTCTGCTAATCTACCAGCTGGGTACATATATGACAAAGGCCAAGACTCAAAAAAGGTAAAATCTTCCTTTCAGCAACACTAACTCTAAAAATTAATTGTTTGTTGGTTGGGTTGTTGATTGGTTGGTTCATTTGTTCATTTATGGTTTGACTACTTGAATTGATTGATTCACTTTTTTTTTTTTTTCCAGTCTTCCCCAGACATCAAATGGGTGGAGAATGCCAAACCATTATTTAGAGTCCGAGCGTATGTAGCATCAACAATTTACACTCAGGTATGTTGATCTGATCTAAGGATGGTTCAGCCACTTTCCATTGCACTGAACAGAGAGCAATGACGTGTTCTGTAAAATAAAAACATTAATCTAGTAACTCTCATCCATCCAGGATTTGCACCTCCACAATTTCTTCCAGTATAGCCAGCTGATGAGGTCAACATCACAGGGCAATCCCGCTGAACTCATCAAGTACCTAAAGGTGAGAATTACATGTGAACACAGGAAAATGTTCATTTAAGTTAAACAATATTACAAAATTTGATGTGTATAAAACTACACAATGTTATGTGCTTTTTAACATTTTTTTTTTCTCTAAACAGAGGACTTTATTTAATTTATGTTGAACCTCGCTCGTGATTTTGCTGAGCTTTTCTTTGGAGCACATATTGTACACTACTGTTTAAAAACGTAATATTTTTGAAAGAAGTGTCTTGCTCACTATGGTTGCATATGTTTGATCAAAAATACAGTTAAAACAGTAATATTGTGAAATATTATTACATTTTTAAAATAACAGTTTCTATTTGAATATATTTGACCCTGGACCACAAAACCAGTCTTATGTCGCTGGGGTATATTTGTAGCAATAGCCAAAAATACATTGTATGAGTCAAAATTATTGATTTTTCTTTTATGCCAAAAATCATTAGGATATTAAGTAAAGATCATGTTCCATGAAGATATTTTGTAAATTTCTTACCGTAAATATATCAAAACTTAATTTTTGATTAGTCAAAGTCAGTCAAAGTCTGCTTTATTGTCAATTCTGCCACATGTACAGCACATACATACAGAGAATTGAAATTACGTTACTCTCAGACCCTTCGTCCGGACGGAGTTCAGCTTCCTGACAGCCTGATGGATGAAGCTGTCCTTCAGTCTGCTGGTCCTGGCCTGGAGACTCCGCAGTCTCCTCCCTGATGGCAGCAGACTGAAGAAGCTGTGTGTTGGGTGGGTGGGATCACCTGCAATGCAGAGGGCTTTGCGGGTGAGACGGGTGTTGTAAATGTCTTGGAGGGAGGGGAGAGAGGCACCAACGATCTTCTCAGCTGCTCTCACTATGCGTTGAAGTGTCTTGCGGCAGGACGCGTTGCAGGCACCATACCACACAGTGATGCAGCTAGTCAGAATGCTCTCGATGGTGCCTTTGTAGAAGGTGCACATGATGGGGCCGGGGCTCTGGCTCTTCTCAGTTTACGGAGGAAGTAGAGATGCTGCTGTGCTTTCCTGGCCAGTGCTGCGGTGTTGTCAGTCCAGGAGAGGTCCTCTGTGATGTGCACACCCAGGAACTGCGTGCTGCTAACCCTCTCCACAGTCACACCATAGACGGACAAGGAGGGGGCTCAGCACACATCCTTGGGGGGGCCCCAGTGGTCAGTGTGATGGTGCTGGATGTGTTACTGCCGACCTGTACTGCCTGAGGTCTTCCAGTCAGGAAGTCCAACAGACAGTTGCACAGCGAAGTGTTGAGCCCCAGCTGGACCAGTTTGTGATCCGCTCGATAGCATGTTAGCTGGTTGAGCTGAATAGCGTAGTCCGGAACACTGTTGCTGAGCCATGTTTCCGTGAACACAAAAACACAACAGTCTCTTACAGTCTATTACTAATTACAGATTAGTAATATACATTCCTAAGAACTTAATTTGGACAACTTTAAAGGCGATTTTCTCAGTATTTTGATTTTTTTGCACCCTCAGATTCCAGATTTATAATAGGTATCTCGGCCACATATTGTCCTGTCTTAACAAACCATACATCAATGGAAAGCTTATTTATTCAGCTTTCAGATGATGTATAAATCTCAATTTCACAAAAATTGACTCTTATGACTGGTTTTGTGGTCCAGGGTCACATATTATAAATTGCTCTATCTGGCAAATCTGAATTTTCAGCAGCCATTACTCCAGTCATCAGTGTTACATGAATCCTTTTCATTTCCTGTTTCATTTCCAAGTGCCTACATGCAGTAGAGACTCAGGTCAGCATCAAGTTTCTGCCTACGGTGCTCGTTCAGCTCTTTGAGATCCTCACGATGGCAAGCAAAGAGAGTCGAGATATTGCTGTAAACTCCACACGGTGACTTACCACTTCATTTGTCTTCTCAGAAAGACACAAGCTTCTGTATTACTGTTTTGTATGCAGAGTAGCCTATGAATGCAAAATGTCCTTATTTAATCGTTTTGTATGGTTTAAAGTGTATAGGATTGCTACGTTACCAGAGTGCCTCTGTTTGTCTCAGGGTAATCATTCACATAGTGTCTCAGTGTCATGAGGAGGGACTGGAGCACTACTTGCGCGCTTTTCTGAAGGTACAACATTATATCTCCCTGTTATCCTTACCATGAATGAACTATAATGTATGCTCACAATACTATAATGGATGACTCACAAATGTGAGTTTGATGAAACCGAAGTTATAAAGTACTAGTTAAAGTAAAAACACTGAAGTTATTTTTATTAATCTGGTCACAAAAATATTGATTAAAGTCATCAGAAATGTAAACATTTGCATGTGTAACAAGCTTTCTTGTATTTGTAATGTGACAGAAGAACTTTGGTTACCAAGAAGAGCTTTTCTTTTTATAAATAAAATGTGTACTCTTTTGATTTGTTTGTTTTATTTAAAAAAAAATTAAAAAATCAATGTTTTATTTTGCAGTACGTGTTTCGGATCAACAACGCAACTTCAGAAAACTCGGTGACGACACATGAAGTTTTGGCTACAGCAGTGACTGTCATCCTCAAACAAACTGCAGACTTCAACACCTGCAACAAACTCCTCAAGGTGACAAAACTGTTCAGTTATGGTGAATATGATCTACTCTCTTTGCACAGCAGATGGCACTGTTGTGTTTATTTTCTATCCTTTTGATTCACTTCAGAATTGTGGTTTATTGTCCGAGTAAGTTAAGAGGAATTGGTGGGTTGTTCCAAAAAACAGATCATGATATGACCATTGACACCCAAATAATATGCACCAGTTTCTTTTATTCAGTGCCACTGGACCTTCCTCAGTGTATTCAAATCAATGTACCGACCTCGTCTCATATAGACTCGGCATCTCCATAAAGTCTGGTTACGTAACCATGTCCACAAGGACACATTTTCTTGGAATTCAGTTCTCAGTGCTTTCTTGGAACTAGGTTTGAGGGAATTCGCTTTTACAGAATGAGATAACTGAATACTGGTTTGACTTTTGCTGGGGTCAGAGATCACATCGTATTGTGGTAGAATAATAAGTCCATTGTTTCTGCAATGCAACTTTCACTTTGCTTTACTTTTGTGATTATGTTGTGGTATTGTATACAGTTATGTGTATATTTAAGATTTTGTTTTTATATTGGCACACATTCAGAACATTCCTGTGATATGATATGGTATACATTAATATTATTATAAACATTATATTAATAATAATTAGATTTCATGTTACACTACTGTTCAAAATTTTGGGATCATTAAGTATTTTTTTATTTTCTGTATGACATTAATGCTTTTATTCAGCAAGGATGCATTAAATTAATCAAAAGTGACAGTAAAGACATTTATAATGTTACAAAATAATTATATTTCAAATAAATGCTGCTCTTTTGTTTCTTAAGCACCAAATAAGCATATTAGATATAAGTATCATGTGACACTGATGACTGAAGTAATGGCTGATGAAAATTCAGCTTTGGCATAGCTAGATTAAATGACATTTTATTAAAATAGAATATTTTATTTTAAATAAAAGAAAAGAACATTTCATTTAAATATTTTAGAAATTTCACAATATTACTGTTTTTACTGACCTCAATCTTTTGAACAGTAATGTGTAATATGGTTTGTGGTATCTGTAAATATTTAAACTGTTTATATATTGGCTCACATTTACGATATTCATCTGTATTATTGTATCAAGTCCGTTTTCTTTTTGTCTTATATTACAGTATTCCTGGTTCTTCTTTGAGACCATGGCCAAGTCAATGGCACAATACCTCCAGAATGGTAACAGAATGAAAGTTAGTATAATCTATTCACAAATATGACGCTTTAAAGTAATATCAAAGAAACTTTAGATTAATATCAATTAACGGCCATTTGTTATCTAAGCGGAGTGTATAGGGCTTTCTTTTCCACTTCCTTTTCTTAGTCATCATCTTCAGTAAAACACAATAAAAAGTAGCTGGATGTAAATAATCCTGGGCTGTCGAGCAGGATGTTGTTTTCCACTTTTGGCATTTGTACATAGAATGCGGTTAACTTCCTCATTCTTCAAAAGTTTGCATGATCAAGGTATCTGTGAAGAAACACCCTTCAAACTCATAAACAAGGAACACGAGCTGTGCTGTACTGTACTGTTGACACAGAGTTGTCTTTTGCATGTACAGTGTGTGTTTAACAGTTTAAACTTTCTGTCAGCCCATTTCAAACATGTATAGACCTATTTGACATGCCATTGGATCCTGTTTGCATAACTGAAACCCTGACTCATGTCATTTAAAGGCCGGTGTATAAAGTCTGTTGTTCAAACATGCCTCCAGCACAATAGATTGCATGACACTCAAGAAAACTGTTTTCTCAGTTGTTAAAATTGGACTTCCGTCTGGTTAGAATATCATTCTGGGGCATTGATAGCTGAAATGAAATCAGATAAAATCCTACTGGGTATCTTTCCTATACCCACTGAAACTATGTAGTATTCATAGCATAGCTATGTGACAGTTAATAATGTGAAACATTTCCTGCAGATGCCTCGAGCGCAGAGGTTTCCAGAATCATTCCACCAAGCACTGCAGTCCCTGTTGTTGTCGATCATGCCTCACATCACTATACGCTATGTGGAGATCCCAGAGGAGGCCCGCTGCGTCAACTTTAGCCTGGCCTGCTTCATCAAGGTCAGGCCTAGAGCTGTAGTATTTGAGTAAGATCAGGCTTATTATTTAAGGTCAGGCTTAACTCTTTAATGCCTCAATGACGTAAACAACACAACTGTTTTCAACATTGATAATAATAAGAAATGTGTCTTGAACATGATTTCTGAAGGATCATGTGATCTAACTTAAAGCATTTAGGTTATGCCTAATGTTTTAAAATTTCCTTCAAGTTTTAAATGACAAAAGTTTGGGGTCAGTAAGGTTTTTTTTTTCAATATTTTTATTTTATTAATAAGAAATTAATACTTTTTTCAGCAAGGATGTATTACATTGATTAAAAGCAACAGTAAAGACATTTATAATGTTACAAAAGATTTGAATTTTTTAAAAGAAATGCAGTTAATTTGTACTTTCGGTTCATCAAAGATCCCTGAGAAACATATGTCATAGTTTCCACAAAAATATTAAGCAGCACAACTGTTTTCAACATTGATAATAAGAAGAAATGCTTCTATGGCTGCTGAAAATTCTTCACAGGAATAAATGTTAAATTTTAAAATATTCTTCTGTTAATATTTCACAATATCAATGTTTTTCTGCAGTTTTGATCAAATAAGTGGGCATTTAAAAAATCTCACTGACCTCAAACGTAAGAAAGGTTGTGTAAATATGTATAGCAGTTGCATAAAGTACAGGAAAATCACAGCAAATTTTATATATATATATATATATATATATATATATACAGTGGGGACAGAAAGTATTCAGAACCCCTTAAATTTTTCACTCTTTTTTATGAATACTTTCCGTACCCACTGTATATATTAATATTTAATATTTTTCCTCCATATTTTTGACCACATAAAAGACAAATGCAATGATTGATTGAGAATAATATCATCTCTGAATGATCAATGATACATGTCAACCATGAAAATCTTTTGCAGTTTGTGCCACTAGAAGTTGCTTAATATTTTATTTTAATGCTATTTTTTATTTCTATTTAATTTTTAATTTAATTGTTTGAATTGTGTTGTCTACATGTTCTTGAAAGTGCACACAAGTTGCACAAGCGTGTTTGATATGCTGCAGTTGTACGTTAACCTATAATCATAGCTTTCAAATGCCATTCACACTAATAAATAAACTTAAGTGATCAAATTTGGTAGATTAGAGCAAATTTGATCTATTTTATCTAATAATAGCTATTATTTGAAGTGTGTTTCAACATTTGGACTTGGTCACCAGTGTGTTGTGATGTAAATGTTTTTGTAGTTTTTCTGGTACCAGTAGTCACTACTGGATCTTTCATTAATTTTATTTATTTGTTGTTCACATGGACTCATTTTAAGGCATTACATTGTTCTGACTGAAACTCTCCCCCTTCACAGCGCTGCCTTACGTTCATGAACCGAGGATTTGCTTTCAGTTTGATAAATGACTACATGTGTGGCTACAGCCTGAAAGATCCAAAGGTAGGCAAAACAATTCAAATACATTACATGGCCAAAGCAATGCTACTTGCATTTATTTAGTGGGTTATTAATATTAATTGGTAAATGACTAAATGTTTTTTTGTTTGTTTGTTTTTTGGATCGAATCAACCTGGTGGTACCACTTCAAGGTAACATTAGTGTCATAATTAGTGGTGTCAATTGATTAAAAAAAATTAACTAATTAATCACAATTCTTTTCTGAAATTAATTGCAATTAATCCCACCTAGCATTAAAGTTTTTAAATATACTTTTATATTGCAATAATTTTCAAATTAATGTAGAAACTGATATCTCTAGGAAATTGCCCCCTTGTTAGGAACAGACATCTCAGCAGCTGGGTTATCAGGTTATTTTGGCTGCTATCACTTTAAGAGCTGCCGCTGCTGAACATGACGCGGATCTGACACGCATCGTATTTTCTCACAACTCTTTATATTT